GCCCCACCTCCAAATACCAACACTGGAGGTTAGGGCTTGAATATATGATGTTCGAGGGACACAATTCAGTCAATGGCAGCAGGGCAGTACTGCCATTCCTTAGTTGATGGATGTGAGGGTGAAGAAGAAATGCATTGTGTATATGTCAGATACAATTGGTCAGAAAAGAAATTTATTACATTAGAGGATGAAAGTCAACCAAGATTAGTGAGTATAAATAGAATTTATTAAGTCACAGAATTCAGGGGAAAGCATAGAGGTCACCAAAACATTGTGGAAAGCAGACTAGATAAGAAGAGGAAGGCAGTGGGGCCCCTGGTTGGCTCAGTTGGTAGAGAATGTGACTCTTGATCTCAGGATTCTAAGTTCAAGCCCCATGTTGGGTGTAGAGATTACTTGAAAATAAAAAAATTTTTTTTAATGTTTACTTATTTTTGAGAGATAGAAAGACAGAGTGTGAGCAGGGAAGGGGCAGAGAGAGAGGGAGACACAGAATCTGAAGCAGTCTCCAGGCTCTGAGCTGTCAGCACAGAGCCTGATGTGGGGCTTGAACCCACAGACTGCAAGCTCATGACCTGAGCTGAAGTTGGATGTTTAACTGACTGAGCCACCCAGGCGCCCCTTGAAAATAAAATCTTAAAAAAAAAAAAAAAAAAAAAGGAAAGATAGAAAAATGTTCTAACTCTTGAAACCACAACAGTGAGGTGAAACCAGAATGTAGGTAGAATCTGAGCAATAAAACAAAAGGTTTGGACTTCTGCTTCCAGCCAAGGTAGAAGAAGGACCAGATATACCCTACTTCCTGAAACTAAAAAACTGGACAAAAATGTTTGAAACAACAGTGTTCAAGAGACTGATTATCAGAGTGAAAGACAATGGTCCCAGAGAGTCAGATATAGACCAGATGAACCCACAGTGGCCAGGTTGCTGCCTTGGCAGAGTTTTCAGATTGTGAAACTAAAAGGGAAAATCTGTGCAGCACTCAGGAGAAGCCCTGAGAGACAGAACTGAGAGCCCAGGGAGATAGAGCAGCTAAGGTTCACAGGACAAAGTATCAGAAATGAGAGACCTTCACATGGAGAAAGCTCTAGAAATCTGCAGCGGGTCCTCTAGGAACATTCAGCAGAGTACTTATTAGCAGAGTGCATGAGGCAACTACCCAAGACTAGAGAATGAATCACCTAAAAGCATAAGAGGGAAAAATACAAAGCACTCAAGAGGACCAGGAAGTTCCTGTACCATCAGACTGGAAAACTTCATAATTCACAGGGTAAGAGCCTTGCTTCGGTGGTGGGTAATAATTAACCCCAAACTACACACAGCTCTGGTCCTACCTAACAGATCTTAATAGCAAGACTCAAAAGGATCAATTATTTCCAAGTAATGTAAATACATCCCAGAACAATGCTCAAAAATATTTACAGGGAAACAAAAACATCCAGCACAAAGAAGGTAAAAGTCAAATTGTGGAATCCAATGAAAAATTACCAGGTATGCAAAGAAACAGAAAAAATAACAGCCATGATCAGGGTACCTGGGTGGCTCAGTTGATTGAGTGTCTAACTCTTGATTTCAGCTCAGGTCATGATCCCAGGGTCATGAGATGGAGCCCCACATGGAGCCCCAAGCTTGAGATTGTCTCTCCTGCTGCATTTTCCCCTGCTCGCTCTCTCTCCCTAATTAAAAAAAAAAAAATTATAGGGGTGCCTGGGTGGCTCATCAGTTAGGTGTCCAACTCTTGATTTCAGCTCAGATAATGATTTCACAGTTCATGAGATCAAGCCCCATGTCGGGCTCTGTGCTGACAGTGCAGAGCCTGCTTACAATTCTCTCTCTCCCGCTCTCTGCCCCATCCCCTGCTCACACTCTCTCTCTCAGAATAAACAAACTTAAAAATAATAAAAATAACAATGCCATGATGAGGAAAAAGTCAGCTGAAATTTACCCAGAACTGACACAGGTATTTGAACTATCACACAAGAGGGGCGCCTGGGTGGCGCAGTCGGTTAAGCGTCCGACTTCAGCCAGGTCACGATCTCGCCGTCCGTGAGTTTGAGCCCCGCGTCAGGCTCTGGGCTGATGGCTCAGAGCCTGGAGCCTGTTTCCGATTCTGTGTCTCCCTCTCTCTCTGCCCCTCCCCTATCCATGCTCTGTCTCTCTCTGTCCCAAAAATATATAAACATTGAAAAAAAAAAAAACTATCACACAAGAATGTTAAAATAGTATTAAACTGTATTTCATATGTTTGAAAAGTTAAGTAGAGCAATGGAAGATGTCAAAAATAAACAAATAAATAAAAGACCAAACCCAAGAGATTAAAACTGTAATGTCTGAGATTAAAGATACACTCAGTGGAATAATGGAAAACTAAACATCACAGAAGAAAAGATTTGTGGGGCGCCTGGGTAGCTCAGTTAGTTGGACGTCCGACTTCAGCTCAGATCATGATCTCACCATTCATGGGTTCAAGCCCTGCATCAGGCTCTGTGCTGACAGCTGAGAACCTGAAGCCTGCTTCAGATTCTGTGTCTCCCTCTCTCTCTGACCCTCCCTGGCTTACACTCTGTCTCTTTCTCTCTCAAAAATAAACAAACATTTTTTAAAAAATTTTAAAAGAAAAGATTTGTAAACTTTAAGATATAGCAATAAAATCTCTCCAAAATGAAAATATATAGAGAAAAAATTGTTTGAATAAAGTATCAATGAGCTATGAGACTACTTCGAGCCACCTAATATATTTGTAACTGAGTCACCAAAGGAGAATATATATGTAACTGAGTCACCAAAGGAGGAGAGACAGGAGGACTAGGACCACAGGAAAAAATATTTGAAGAAATCATTGCTGAAATTTTTCCAAATTTAATGAAAACTATAAACCCACAGATCAAGAGGCTCAATGCACCTAAACATAAGACATATGAAGAAATGATCCCAAGACACATTGTAGTCAAGCTACTCAAAATCACTTATTTAAAAAAAAACAAAAATAAAACCTTAGAGGTGCCTGGGTGGCTCAGTCGGTTAAGCGTCCAACTCTTGATTTCAGCTCAGGTCACAGTCTCACATTTCATGAGTTTGAGCCCTGCGTCAGACTCAGGGTTGACAGTGCAGAGCCTGCTTGGGATTTTCTCTCTCCCTCTCTCTCTGCCCTTTCCCTGCTCACTCTGTCTCTCTTGAAATGAGTAAACTTAAAAAAAATTTTTTTTAATTAAAAAAAAAACCTTAAAAGTAGCCAGGTTTTTTTTTCAATATATGAAATTTATTGTCAAATTGGTTTCCATACAACACCCAGTGCTCATCCCAAAAGGTGCCCTCCTCAATACCCATCACCCACGCTCCCTCCCCTCCCTCCCACCCCCCGTCAACCCTCAGTTTGTTCTCAGTTTTTAAGAGTGTCTTATGCTTTTAGCCAGTTTTTTCAAAGACACATTGCATACCCAGAAACAAAAAGAGAAGGATGACAGCAGACTTTTTATCAGAAGTAATACAAGCAAGAAGAGAGTGGGATTACATCTTTAAAGTACAGAGAGAAAAATCACCATCCTAAAACTCTATACCCTGTGTATTGATTTTCTATTGCTGCATAACTGTCACAAACTTGCAGTCTTATGACAAAACAAAATTTATCTCAGTTTCTATGGATCAGGTTGGCTATATTCATATCAGACAAATTGCATTTAAGAGCAAAGAATATCACCAGGAATTAAGAACACCATTTCATAATGATAAGTGGAGCTATTCATCAGGTTGATATAACAATCCTAAATGTTTACGGCCCTAATAACAGAGCTTCAAAATACGTGAATAAAAAAAAGAACTGAAAGGAGAAAGAGTGAGATATTTCAAATATAGCAAGATATTTCAATATATAGTGAGATATTTCAATAACCCTCTCTCAATGATTGATAGAACAAGTAGGCAAGAAATTAGTAAGAATATAAAAAACTGAATAAAATCAATCAACTTGACCTAATTGATATTTATAGAAGACTTCATAATAGCAGAATACACATTCTTTTCATATACATACAGAACATTTACCAAGATTCTGGTCCATAAAACAAGTTTCAATAAGTTAAAAATTCAAGTCATACAAAGTATAGTTTCCTTCCACAACAGAATTTAATTAAAAATCAATAACAAAAAGATCTCTGGAAAGTCTTCAAATGTTTAGAGACTAAATGACACATTTCTAAATTACCCATAGGTCAAAGAAAATACCATAAAGGAAAAAGAAAGTATTTTGAAGTGAATTAAAATGAAATATATTTGAAAAATTTGTTAGATGCCACTAAAGCAGTGTGTAAGGGGGGATTTATAGCACTAAAAAGCATATTGGTAAAGAAGAAAGATCTCAAATCAATGGCCTCAACTTCCACCTTAAAAAACTAAGTGAAGAAAAACAAATCAAACCTAAGCAGAAATATCATAAATCAGAAAGATCAAAAATCAATTAAACATAAAACAGAAAAACAATAGAGAAAATCAATAAAACCCAAAGCTGATTCTTTAAGAACATTAATGAAATTGATAAATCTAAGCAGACTGATCAGGTAGAAAAACAAAAAGAGAGCAGACACAAATTACCAACATTAGGAATGAGAATATCATTATAGATTCTACAAATAAAACAATAATAAACAGGATATTATGATCAAATTTATGCCAATAAAACTTGGCAACTTAAATGGAAAAATTCCTTGAAAAATACAAACTACCAATGCTCACTCAAGAAGCAGTAAATACCTGAATAGCCTTTTATTTATTAAAGAAATTTAACTTATAGTTTAAAAACTATAACAAAGAGGGCACCTGGATGGCTCAGTCAGTAGAGTGAGCAACTCTTGATCTCAGGGTCATGAATTCAAGCCCTGAATTAAGTAGACATTACTTAAAAATAAAATCTTATGTGATATATGTGTGTGTGTGTGTGTGTGTGTGTGTGTGTGTGTGTGTGTGTGAAATCTTGCCATTTGCAACTACGTGGATGAAACTCGCAGGTATTATGCTAGGCGAAATTAGTCATAGAAAGACAAATATCATATGACTTCACTCATATGAGGACTTTAAGACACAAAACAGATGAACATAAGAGAAGGGAAGCAAAAATAATATGAAAACAGGGAGGGGGACAAAACATAAGAGACTCTTAAATATAGAGAACAAACAGAGGGTTGCTGGAGGAGTTGTGGGAGGGGGGATGGGCTAAATGGGTAAGGGGCTTAAGGAATCTACTCCTGAAATCATTGTTGTATCATGTGCTAACTAACTTGGATGTAAATTATAAAAAATAAATGAGGGGCGCCTGGGTGGCGCAGTCGGTTGAGCGTCCGACTTCAGCCAGGTCACGATCTCGCGGTCCGTGAGTTCGAGCCCCGCGTCGGGCTCTGGGCTGATGGCTCAGAGCCTGGAGCCTGTTTCCGATTCTGTGTCTCCCTCTCTCTCTGCCCCTCCCCCGTTCATGCTCTGTCTCTCTCTGTCCCAAAAATAAATAAACGTTGAAAAAAAAAATAATAAATGAATTATAGAAAGAAAAATAAATAAAAATAAAATATTTTTAAAAATGTTTTTAATGATTATAAAGAAAACTCCTGGCACAGATGGTTTCACTGGTGAATTCTACTAAGCATTTAAGAAAAACATAATACCAATACAAGTTTTTTGGAAAATCCAAGATAAGAGAATACTTCCCAACTTTTTCTCTGAGGCCAGAATCACCCTAATACCAAAGCCTGAAAGATATCACAAAAAAATATCAAATAACCTTCATGAACATAAATGCAAAAATTCTATACAGAACTTTATCAAATCAAATCCAACACTATGTAAAAATAATATACATTTAGGGGCGCCTTGGTGGCTCATTCAGTTAAGTGTCTGACTCTTGATTTCAGTTCAGGTCATGATCTGGCACTTTATGAGTTCGAGCCTCGTGTAAGTCTCCACATTGCCAGTATAGAGCCTGCTTGGGATTCTCTTCCTTTCTTCCTTCTTTCCTTTCTTCCTTCCTTCCTTCCTTTCCTTCTCTCTCTCTCTCCACCCCCCAAAATAAATAAACTTTAAAAAATAATATACATTGTCATCAAATGGAATTTATCCTAGAAATGCAAGATTTATTTAACATTCAAAAATCAATCAATATAATTCACTATATATTAGTAAGTTAAAAATAGGAAAACCTTGTGATTATCTCAACAGACTTGGGAAAAGCATTTGACAAAATCCAACATCCATTCTTCATAAAAATTCTCAGTAAACTAGGAATAGAGTAACTTTTTCAGTCTTATAAAGGGCATCTTCAAAAAGCCTATAGCTAACCTCATCCTTCATTAAAACAAAACACTGAATGCCTTTCTCCCTGAGATCAGGAACAAGGCAAGGATGCCAACTCATCACTTCTACTTAATATTGTATTGGAGGGTACCTTGAAAAGGAGGAACAACATTGGAGACTGATTATAAAGCTACAATAGTCCTGATAGTGTTGTGCGTGCATCAGAATAAAGAGATCAACGGAACAGAATAGAGAGTTGAGAAAATGACTACATATATATCAGCAACTAGGTTTTGTGAAAGGAACTATGGTAATGATGCTATCCACAAATGGTGATAGCCTAACCCTTGATCCACACTTTGCAGTTCAATTCAAAATGAATCATAGACCTAAGTGTAAAAGGTTAGGGAATAAACTTCTGGATGAAAACAGGGAAGAAAATCTTCAGGCCTTAGGTTAGGGAATGAGAGACTGTACAAGCTGTGGGCATGAAGGATATGTTCATTTTCTTCATTGTGGTAATAGTTTCACAGTGTATATGACACCCAAACCACAACTCATGGAAGGGACTTCTCTACAAAAAAGGCCGAGTAAGTCCATCATCACTCTAAACTTGGGTCTTTGGGGGCCCCAACTGGTCTCCCTATTTCCCACCTCTACCCCCAAAAGTCTCTACCTAGGTGGCTGGACTTCAGGCCCACCAGAGAGCCTGGTCCAAGGCAATCAATCACTCCATGTCTCTCTGCCACATACAACAGAAATCCCCAACCTCCCTGTACATCCACAGAAGATCTGGTGCTTATGAAAAAGATGTTCAGGGCAAAGACTTGTGCTGTCCCATCCTGCCTGACCACACACACTCAGCAGATTACACTAGTAGTAATAATAATAGCACTAAGAATAATCATTGCGGTGCAATTATTTCATTAGTGGCAGTTAACATTTGTTGGTCACTTACTCTGAACCAAGCTCTTCAGTAGGCATTTGATGGCATTGTCTCATTTGACACTCATTACAAGTCTCGGGGGAGGGGCTTGGATGATCAAGGATGAACAAAGGGCACCTTCAAAAGGCTGCCCATGGTTGCCGACCTCAGCAGTCAGGGGCAAAAACAGCCACAGCAACTACAGAAGGCAACTTACCACCTATTCCATATCCCGTTGACACTAAAACAGTATTGCTTTCAGCCCTATATTTTGGGCCATAGTATGGTTTTTGTACTTTTCCCATAATCTTCTATACTCATCACTGAAATTCAGAACTTTTCACATCCTGGGAAGGGATTTTCCAGACACAGATTTTGAATACTAAAATTGAGACAGTCCCAGACAAATTAAATTTGTCACCTTACTCTGGATATAGCTGCAAAGCCAGACACAGTGGTAGCCAGGCTAAGCCCAGCTTGGACCTCATTACCAAGTGGTCATCAAAAGGGTGACAAGAACCCTTAATTCGGCATACCCCAGCTGGTACGGTTATTTAATATTAGCTTTGTCAGAGCCTTAACTGAATTTTCTCCTACCCCTTCCAGCAAAGGTATAGAAGCTAGATACCAGGCAGATCGTTTGCAGCAATTTATAATTAATTTATGCCGCCTGAAATGTCCCACTAGGTCAGAATCATTCTTCACCCAGTTAATGAAAGGATTGATTTTAAAGACACCTTTGATCATTAAAAGCATGATTAAGACTTCCTCCCTATTACCCTTCTTTAGGAATGAGCAATGCATCTTCCTGTAGCAGAAAGCTTTCAGTTCTCCCAACAAATGTGCTTGCTGCAATCGAGTGTTTAATTAGTCTCTTTCTTCAGATGAAATAATTGTGTCTCTGCTCTGGATTTCATTCATAAGATCACTTACTTCGCATATGGCAGGCTTTTTATTGACTCACTCATTTATTGCAGGGCCATATGGTGCACACAGAGCAAAGCAACAGTGCGTTAGGCAGAAACCCAGTGGGAGCAGGGGAAAAGCCAGCAGTCTGATATCAGTCAGGCCACCAGCTGACATTTAATTGACTGTCTACTGTGTGCCACCAGCCAGGCCGGGGATTCAGAGGTGAGCAAGAGGCACAGACATTACCCTTATGGCAGTTTCTCAACCTCAGTACTACGGACCTTCAGGGCCAGATAATTTTTAGTTGTGGGGACTGTCCTGTTTGTTGTAAGATGTTTAGCAGCCTCTCTGACCTCTACCCACTAGAAGCTAGTAGTGCTGTCTCCCCACTTCACCCCCATCAGTGTGACAACCAAACAGATCTCCAGGCATTGCCAAATGTCCGTAGGGAAAAGAGTTGCCCCCAGGTTGAAAACCTTAAGGTGTTTGCAATCTAGAAAAGCAACTAAGACAACTGAACAACTCTTTATGATGAAGGATGGCATGGGACGAATATGGTGCTTGTAAACTCCAGCACCCTTGGGAGCCAGTGATGGGAGTGTCAGGAAGGCAATGGGATGGCTCTAACTGGTGAGGACAACCCTGCCACAAGGCATCAGCTAGTGCTCAGCTCCAGCCAAGTGTTACTAGATGCTCTGACAATTCTAGTGTATTCTGAAATCTGGACCTCTATGTAAAATTTCCCAATCTTGCAATGTCCTCAACTGGTTAAAATGTATTTTAATAAAAATGTAACCCTCAGAAGTAAGTAAATAAATAAAAAGATCAAGGGCCTTATTCAGCCAGATGCCTCTTCTATGTAGAAAGTTGAGCAGCATATGAGTCCTGGCACTACCTCTGGCTCACTTCCACCTCTGGGCATTGGGTCTATTTCTAAAAAGTGGCAGGTGGTCCAAATGATCAAGCTTAGACAGTGGTTTTTGACCCTGGATGCCCACTAAAATCACCTGGAGATATTTAAAAACTCATCAATGCACTGGCACCAACCCAGACCAGAATCTCAGAGGATGGGATCTAGGTATCCATGTTTGTTAAAATCTCCCCCAGGTGATTCCAACTGAAGAATCTCTGGCATAGGAGAAGGAAACATGTGTGTCAAGGCCCACCTCCAGGTAGTGTGTTATTATAACACAGGACTCCAAATTCAGACCACTTGGGCTCAAATCCTTCTTCTCCATGGGTAACTATGGAGTCTGAGAGAAAGTTTTTAGCCCAGGTCTCATGGTCTATATCTAGTAAGTGGAAATAACAACACTACCTACTTTATCAGGCTGGTGTAAAAAGTCAGAATCTCTAGAGATGGGGCCCAGGTGTTAGTGTTTTTTATTTTTCCAGATATGTCTAAATAGCAACCAGGGTTGAGAAGCAGTAATTAGGTTCCTACCAGCTCTAACACTCTGAATTTCCCATTGTGTGAAGAGGAAATGAGTACTAGACACCCACTAAGCCTGGGACTGAGATGCCCCATTGGGATCCCTCAAGAAGGATTGGAGATAAAGAGCCAGATGCTGGCTGTATGCAACATAAACTCCAAAGGAACACAACATAACCTCCTACACACACAATCATTAGCTGCTAGGAATAAGAAGTACTTTGGATATCATTCTAAAAGGACTTGGCTTGTAAGGGCTACCTCTACTAACATGAAGGAGCTTCCACCAAAGAACTCAAAGAGCCCTAACTTCCAGACACTGAGTATCTTAAAGCATCTGATCCAGTGTCATGCTGGTAATATTTCCATTATTCACCTGAACTTCTGTAATGAGGTGGCTAACTATGGGGCTTCCATTTGGGACACACACATTTATCATCTGATTAGGAAAGATTACCTATTTTTAGATAAAACATATATCCCCTAACAGGGATGGACAGTTATAAATAACTTGTAAAACTCTAGCCGACGCCCAAAACATCATGATTTAGGTTGAAAGAAAAAGCCTTTCTGATC